GAAAACGGTAGATGTGGTGCTTATTGTACAGTACTTTTCAATTATGCCTTCCAAGTTTGAACGTCACAGCAACAATTTGAAGTTTAATGTCACTTACAATGCTTCTTGTTTTCTCAGGAGTTTCTTTTGCAAAGTCTATGATAACAGGGCGACAAAAACGTGATGATGAAGGTAATGGATTTTACCAAATAATATTGCTATTCTCCTTATTGCTTTATCCAGAAGAACCATCAAAACCCCTTTTGCTAATGAATTTGATCCATTCCACATTCTCTAAATAATTTTATAGTCTTTCTGCGTTTGCTTTTATCTGAAGAAATTTCAAATTCCTTTCTGCGTTTTTCTCCTCTTTTAATATTTTTTGCAAGAATAATAATAACGTAGAAACTAGTGTCATAAAGTCGACAACTGAGTCTATTTTATGGTACGTTTTGCTTTTTTATTTTCACTTTTCCAGGATTTGATAATGGCACCTTCTCCTCTTCACAAACTTGGCAATCCACGTCTAACATCTTCGCATGAGCTGGCTTCTGCTTCACACCAACCATCTCGCGGTCGATCAGGAATAGTAAAAGAAATTTGGACTGGTCGAATAAAAAAGTAGGCTTTTCCAACAATCCATCGCCGCCCTAGCAGAGGCTGAATTCCTTGATCTTCCTCTCACAACATCAACACCATCAACTTCTTCGATAAAAGACAATATAACTCGTGGGCATGCCAATTTGCTAACTCAGTAGGTTGAAAATATCTAATTTATCTCAGATAACTCTGGTACAAGAATAACTTCCATTGTGAACCTAGATTTCCAATTTCTTCACTCCCCCATTCCTCCACAACCTGGAATCTAGCCAATGACTTTTTAGTCTCCACCATACTTCGCTCAAAAGGGAATAAAGTATTTATTTCAACATCCCTTGTTAGCAAAAAAGAATTCGCTTATGACGTTAAGCTTGACCCTTCTCTGCATATCATCAGCTCTAAACACTTACCCGAAATACTAGATAACATCATCTCAATTCGTAGGAGAACTCTAAATCCAAAGGAAATGTCAGGACAAATCTTTTACACTTTTATTATCGAATGCGAGAAGTATCATCCCAAGAGACCGGAACTTGAAACTCTATTATGGACCTACAATCCAGATATCGACTGTATAACAAAAACCTGGTTATCCGCACCCTTGCACTTTGAAATTACAATATTTATTACCATCAGACAGGATCGACCTGACGGTAGAGGTGGGTTTCATGATACTTATACGCAGGGAAATTCCTTTTCGTATTACAAACTACACCACTCTTTAACTGACAAATCTGCAATCTGGAAAACGTACACGGAAAAAATTCCGGGACATTAGATGCGCCGAGGACAGTGTCAACAGCAGTACATTTCATTTTGCACGTCTGAGGTGCCATTTCGAGATATCAGACGTACATAATGCACGTCAGATACTCCAAACTGGCACAGATGGCGTGCAAAATAAATGTAGAAGAAAATTTGACACAACCTGTACATCTGACGTGCCGGAACTTTTTCCGTGTACAGTTCAACCGATAGATACCCCTGCCGAACGGAACCAAAGAGATAGAGCAACAGCGCGCGTATCTCTGCCTACGTCAAGCCCGAGAGGTACCAATGCCGTAAGACCTGTTGCTCTTGGAGAACGAAAACACAACAATTCCAAGTGCAAACCAACGAAATGCACCAAAATAGAATTCAATACTGCAGCAGTACTTATTTATATTTCGTAACGAATGTTACGAGAAGGCATAATAACACTGAGTAAAAGTAATTGGTCAAATCCGATCGTTGTGATTAAAAAAGCAAATAAATGAGACTTATAGTTTGTGTTTAGATTTTTGGTAGGTAAACGCGGTAACGAAAAAAATCTGTTCCCTAGTACCTTTAATGGACGAAATTTTGGACATGCTTAGGTCAGTGAAATATATTTTGAAAGTCGATTTAAAGTGGGCTTACAATCAGATTCCACTAAGCGAGGAATCGAAAGAGAAGACAGCTTTCGTAGTTCCAGGATTTGGAATGCTCTAATAGAAAAGAATTTCGTTTGGCCTGTGTAATTTGATTGATAACCAATCTCATCGCCTTAAAATGGTTACATAATCTAAGAAATACGACAAAACGTTTATCAAGATGGGCGGCAATAATGAATGTAACATCGAGAGTAAGGAACATGTGCAAAATATTCTTGATGCTTTGTCCAAGAATTTTAAAATTAACATAAATAAGATATAGTTTTTTTGTTTAAAGTGTTATAATTACAAATTATATTTAATAATAAATATTTTTAAAAACAGATTGACAGAATTAAACGAAAAGCCAAAACCTTAAGGATAAAATGTTCTACTGCAAACGAAGAGGTCTTGAGAAAAGTTATTTCGACGCTTCCAAAAAAGCAACAAATAGCAATTAGAGCTTGCTTTCAAGCTTCTAAATTAAAAAATATGCGAAGTATGCGATACACGTCAGAGTGGATATATGAATACTTATTGTTGCGAATTAAAAGCAAAAAAGCTTATAATCAACTCCGATGAGACAAAATTTTAACGCTGCCTTCGCCAAAAACATTGGCAACGTATTTAAAGCGCATTAAAAGTTCCTATGGTTTTTAACATTATATATTTAAGGGTTTAAAAATGAAAATCGCTTCTATGCCTGAGGAATGTCGTCGAGGTATATATTTTCATTCAGTAATATATATTTCATAATAATTGAAAATAAATTAAAAGTGTGAAAAAATGGGGACTAACTATTATTTCATAATAAAATAAATAAATAAAAAAAAAAAAATAAATAAATAATATAAATATAAAAAAATAAATAGAAGCAGTAGCTAAAATTTTAACATTTTTATTCTTGGTTGGGATGTAATGAGATCATTTATTGATATAATTGAATCATGTTTGTCTCAATGTTTTTTATTCGTAACAGGTATTTTTGCAGTAGACGAAATTAAATTGCCCGAAGCATTGTCTTTTGACAGAACAAATTTAAAAGTCGAAGGTTTTACCGACTTAGGGAAATACACGCCTCAGCACCAGAAAGGAAAACGAGGTGATCACGCATTGGTCATAATGTTTCAGCCGTTCACACGAAAATTTGTTTTGAGCAGAGGCAGTGCAAGTAAAAGTGTACTTCATAAAATAATTTTAGAAGGCCTGGCTTTAGCTGAAAATGCAGCACAATTTATCAATGCTGTGGTAACAGATGGAGCCGGTTGGAATAGAAGTATGTGGGGTTTCTTCGAAATCACGAAGAAAAATATAAGTTGTCCTCGTCCATTTGATGATAAGCGTCGACTTTGATTTTTTTCTGACTTTCCTCATATGGCAAAGATGGTGCGTAATTTTTTTATAAAGTTTAAAAAACATGATGTGATTTTTGTAAGTAATTGTGAAGAAGATTATAAATAGTAGAAATTTTTTTAATGCTAATGAAAAATTAAATATGGTTATGTAAACCTTTTATTATCAATTGCAGACTCCTGATGGTGGGATTTCAAAAAAGCATTGGTATGCTCTCTTGGAAATGCTCAATGCAAACTTATATGCAATAAAAGTTAATTTCAAATTAACAAAGGATCACATTGATCCTAAGTATTATCCAAAAATGAATGTAGCATTAGCATTCCCGGTATTTTATTTGAGTAATATATTTGTAGGCATGAATAATTGATTTTTAAACTAAAAATTAATTCAAAAATATTTCAGTTCTTTAACATTCATGATGCGCTTGAAATTTTCGAAAATCGACATCAAGATTTGGAGGACTGCGAGAATACAAAAGTTTTTTGCAAAAGGTTCACAGCGCTTATTAAAGCAATGAACAGCCGAACACCTGCCGACGCAATGGCAACATTCATATAAAAGATTCTAATAGAGATGAAAATTTTAACGAAATGTACTAATGTGATACTGAAACTAATGTTGATGAAGCTGGTTTAACACAAAAACAACTACCAGAACCTGATCCTCACACATTAGAGCAAGAATTAATATCGATAAATGAGAATGCAAATACAACTACGTCTAAAAAAAGGAATTAATTAGAAATGGAGGGAGAATTTGTAGACTGTCCAAAATCGATGCGTGCTCTACAAAAAGCGTCAGCAAGTTTACATCAGACTTAGCTGTTTATGAATAACAATTACATAAATTAATAAATACATAAAATCACTATTTGGAAAAAAGTTCAAACTTTTAAAAAAATATAAACCCTGGACAAGTAATTTAGCTAACATTTTATGTATAATTTTAATAAAAAAAATCATTTAAAATAATTACAATTATTGTTAAATTGTTTACTATATTATATCATTTTACGTTACTTTAAAAAAAATTTTGAGTAGAATTAATCTTTAAATATAAGTTATAATTTTATAATCGTTTTTCAAGAATTAAAAAATGTAATCTTTTTAATATTTTTAAGATTGGTAGACAGCAATAGAGTAAACTAGACAGTAGTCGGCCACTTAATTATTTAGATTGTAAAAGATTTCATCCTCTACGAAGAAGAGTGGGAAAAATTTGCGAAAGAAAAAAATTATGAATTTCTGACAGACAACAGTTGCTACAGTTTAAAATATCATTGAAAGCAATATGTCCATAATCTATTGAAACCTTATTTTCACGCAGAAATTTTTTTAATTTTGAAAAATTTTGTAAAATATGAGATTTTATGTCTGTTTCGTTTGCTAAATACTTACTAAAAATGTTATAAGTTTTATTTTCTAAAAAAAATTAGTATTTAGATTAATTTAGTTAAAAAGTGTTACATAAAAATTTGAAAATCAGTTGAGTTTTCTTAGAATATTTATTAAATAAATTTTAAATATATATTTTTTATTGCAGCGAAATTTTGAGGAAGATTTAAACGAAATTGAAAGGAACGACACCTCTTTGAACGTCGAGGAGGCATTTAGAGAAACTCTTTCAAATTCAGGTTTTCAAAATGTATCCAATGAATATGTTCATCAGATTAGAGATGATGATCAGGAAATGGAAAATGGACCGGACAATGACGCGAGTAGGTCATCATTCGATGATTCAAACATAGGGTCACCGTTCTGTGATGTGAACATCAGGTTACGAGTCAATGATGAGAACAACAAATCACCAGTCTATGATTTGAACATCGTCTCACCAGTCTATGATGTGAACAACAGCTCACCAGTCTATGATTCGAACATCAGGTCACTAGTCTATGTTGCGAACAACACGTCATCAAATAATGATGCGAACAACAGGTCACATAGACGTTTAATAAATATTGGAGGTAGAATTCGCAGTCTATCTAAAGTACAGTCATGCAGCACACTAAGTGTCAGCAAGTGTACACCCGATTTGGCAGATATTGTGTTCGACAGAAAAGAACTTGCTTCTAGTACCTTAACAGAAAAATCATGCAATGCGAAACGTAATAGGAACTGTGTTCAATTACCTAAACTCGACGAAAAATGTGTCGATGCGATGTTCAGTAAGTAATGAATTTTAATCATTTTTTAATAATATTTTTATATACCCTTTTTTTAATTTTGAAAAAAATGTACTTAACAAGAAACATTTAATTTATTACATTAAACCCATGAAATTTAAACCAATCTAATTTTTTATGCTTATAGGTAATCATTTTTTTTAAATTTGGGTATTTTGAAAAATATTTAAAAAGTCGAATTATTTATCAATAATAAATACTAAAAATAATAATAATACTAAAGAATACTGAAAATTTTTGAAAACTGAAAATTTGAACTACTATCGAAATTTTTATTAATTTTTATTGGAAATTTCTTCATAAGCTTGTTTCATTATTCCGAAAAATCAATCGTATAAAATTTCAACATTTTTAAAAAATAATCTAATTGTCTAAAAACAATGTACTTTAATATTAATTAAAAAATTAAAATTTGATTAATTCTATTAATTTATTATAGTGTAATATCATTTTAGATACTAAAAGAATTTTTCGATCAAAATGTAATAACCATTCTGTCAAATGACAATTATATCTAGTGACTTTTCTATCTGTTGACTTTTCGATATAATTTTTTTAGTGTAACTCCAGAGAATTATATTTGAACCGAAATGAGTTACCGAAAATTGAAATCGGATAACATTTTGGTTTAAATATAGTTTTCCACAGTCCAATTTCTCCTTAAAGTTAATATTTCTTAAATTTAAAATGCTTAAAATATTTTTTAAAAATTACAGACAATAATGTAATTTAGGAAATTTCGTACAAAAAATTAAATAGAAATTTTTAAATTGTTAATTTTAGTAAAAATATTTGTTAAGAATTTTTAAAATTAGAATGTAGTGTTTTTTTTTAAGAAGAGAGGCGAGAAAAATTTTTTCAATCCATTTAAATTTATGTTGTTCTTGTATGATTTCCTTTTCTTGGAGTAATTAAATTTCTAATCTAAGACAATTCCTTGGCCAAATTTCAATTTTTCTTTAAAATAAATCCTTAAATTAATCAAACTATTGTGGTCAATTTCTATAACGGATGATATAACGGATTAAAATATGTTACAGAAATCACAACGTCAAAATTCGGATCAACTGCTAAAGATGTAAAGAAGCTGTTCAGAATTGCTTTAAGAGAAAAAATTAGCAACGCGAGGGAGAGAAAGAGACACCCCTTGCAAGTTGCTCAAAACGAACTATAAAACAAAAATTAATTATGTTTTTTTTAAATTTTATAAAAAAAAGTTTATATATAATAAATATATGATGTTTCAAAGTTTTTAAATTATTGTATTTTTATTCATAAACCTTTTAATAAATTAATAATTTATCAACCTTTCTACTTTTTAAGTTCATAGAAGTGTCATATTTTACTTGTTGTTTTTCTGGTGTCATTAACCCTTTAACGCCCAAATGTGCTGTTTTCCGACTTAAGGGGGGCGCCTACTTTATCGGGTCAAAAAAATCGATTTTTTAAAAGTTGTCTTAACTGAAAGTACAACTATAAGAGAATATGCTCTTAAAATATTACGTCAAAATACAAAGTATTTTTCGAGTTACAGCTTGTAAAACGCAATAAAGAGCGTGGACTGGCGCTTGGCCTGGCGCGCGATTTCACTCGCGGTCTCTAATACTTTTCATAATTTGTCGCGCTTATCTACTATTACACCTACCATTAAAATTACCATTTATCAGTAAAATCTCTTCTTATCCAAGAGCTACACATAAAAAAATAGTCGTTCATCGAGGCCGCGAAATAGCATTTATATATGTTTTTCAATCTTTAAACGCGTTTTTCTCAAAACACTGTTTTTGTAGTTTGCGTACACGATAGACAAAAATCTAATCAACCGATAAGGGTCTATTTGGGCTTGTTTTGAAGATGAAGAGTGTCTCTTCTGTATGAATTAAATTTGTTTTTGATAGAGTTAAATTTAATTCTTTCTTTTAAAGAAAAAATGAGATTTTTTTTGGCAAAAATTAAATTTTTTTTTAAAAGTCATGTAAAAATTTCAGTTTTTACTTTCTATTGAAATCTTTTAATTCATACAGAAGGCAATAATGTATATTTATAGAAAAAATTTTGTTTTTTTGTTTTAGATAAGAATTGTGGGCCCTAGGTTGTACGCAATGGGAAAATTTTAGCAGCGAGGCGTTATATATACCGTCAACTGGGGCTATTTTGTGCATCCGGGGGCTATTTTGTGCACGCGAGTTTTTTAATGGAAAAAATTATTAAAATGAATTATTTTAATCTGCTATTTTGTAAAATGAAAGTTTGATTACATGACAATAGAGAGCACTAAATGTTATTATTTAATTCTTTGGCAATTAAGAGAAAAAAATTCCTAAAAACGGAAAATTTGTTTAAAAAATTTTGAAAGTTCGGAAAAATTATACCAGATCTTCTAGAATTTTAATGTGTCTCATAAACTGTGTTAGATATTTGTTTTCAATTGTGTTGTGATGATACATACGTAATGCGCTAACTTTTTATTCATTATTTTAAGAGAAAAGTGGAAAAAACTGAAAAACCAGGATTCCATGGGGCTATTTTGTGCACTTAAAAAAATCAAATATTTTTCATAAATATTTTATTTAGTAAGTAAAGAAGATTCTGTTTATCATTTTTATACATTTTTGTCTTACTTTTCTGTCAAAAAACTGTAAATACGTTAATTAAAATCATTAAAACGATTAAAAGCTCTACCGGTGCACAACGTAACCTCAAAAAATGAACATTAATTAATATTTATAAGTTTTTCAAATTAGTTTTAAAACTATTTTCTCGTTTCTCTTAAAATAACTTGAAAATCATATTAGATATTAAATTGTTATCTATTTAACCTTAAAAATATTTATTTCAAGTTTTTTAAAAATATCATTCAAAACCATTAAAAAAGCTCCTATTGAAATGATGTTTTAAAGTTATTTATAAGTGTTTAAACGATCATTTTATAATTATATTAGTATATTATTATAAAATATATATTAAAAAAGAAAAAAATTTTATTTACTATCTGTGTAATATACAATTTAAAAAAAGATTGTTAATTTTTAGTAAATCCAGATTTTAGCAAAATTTTAGTGCTTTATTTTACATTTTTTGTATAATATATCTACAAAAAAAATTTTACTAGGTCATTCTTTTTTTAATTTACTCTCAAATATATACACAAAAGATTTCATGAAGCAGAAACAATTAAAAAAATTGTTTACGCAACATTATAGAAAAACAAAGTTCGATGCACAAAATAGCCCCATCCCGGGAGTTATTGTGTTCACGACTTTCAATGACTATAACTAAGACAAAAAAATTTTTTTCTTTGCAAAATTTATAGGAAACCTTCAAAAGGATGTCCACAACATATATCAAAAGTTGATTTTTTTTATTCTCTTAATTCTGAATTTAAATAAATCTTTGAATAAAAAAAAAGCTATTTGGTGCACAAAATAGCCCCGGTTGACGGTATGACGTTTATTTTATTATTAAATTCTATTTTCATTTAATGAAAAAATTATATTTCAAAGGTTTAAATATATAAGAAAACATACACTAAATCTCGCATCGATTTATTTAAATGTGTTTGAGAAAAAAATTCCTGAAATGTACGCAGTTTTTTACCTTCTAAAGTAGGCGCCCCCCTTAAACTTTAACTTCATACAACTATTAAAAGAAAGCTAAAAAAATTTCAAAAGTACCATTTCCTACTATTTTTAGGGTCGCTCTTTCGAATGGCGTTGTCAAAATTTCCAAAAAATGAAATTAACCCCCTCTTTTAATGAAATTTTCCAAAAATGCAAGATTTTTGGATGAAATTTTTTTTTATTGCAATTTTCATTGTTATATCGGTATCTACATATTGTCTAAGGTATAAAAACCGTATTCCCGATAGCTGTACTTTAAAAATGTGCAGTAGTTTTTTTTCATTTTTTATTAAAAAATGGCACCCGAACGCTAAATTTTTCTTTTACACATACAAATTTTTTTTTCTAAATTTGCTTAAATTCACTTGAAATTTGTTACTCATGGGTTTATGGGGTCGCTAATTACGAATCTGATGTTAGTTTTGAAAAATTCAAAATGGCGGATTCAATATGGCGGACGATTTTTTTAAAAATTTATCAAATTCGCCTGAAACTTGTTACTCGGGGGTTTTCAGGGTCGCTGATTACGAATATGATGTTAGTTTTTAAAAATCCAAAATAGCGGATCCAAAATGGCGACCAAAAAAATAAAAATCATTCAGATTGGTTTAAAAATTGGTACTCGGGGGTTTTTGGGGTCGCTGATTAAGAATATGATGTTAGTTTTCAAAAATCGAAAATGTCGGATCCAAAATGGCGACCGAAATATAAAAATCATTCTGATTATCTTAAAAATTGGTACTCGGGGGTTTTTGGGGTCGCTGATTACAAATATGATGTTAATTTTTAAAAATCAAAAATTCGGATCTAATATGCAACAGATATTCAAATGAGTGAAGGTGACCAGGACTTAGAATAAGTCCTCAATGTGTTAAATCAAATCAGCACTTTACCTCCCTTTTATTATACGCTTAATAAAATTACCCTTGTCTTAGCTCGGAACGTGACAGAAGACAACCTCAAACAAAGTTTTATGATGAAAAAAGGTTCCCACTTTAAAGTTCAATAAGTAATTAAACTAAGTTTTATGAAAGTAATGTTTCAAGTTTGACATTATTATTAATTGAGTATAAGTAATTTTTAAAATTGACCCAAATAACAATTTTCAAGCCAATCCGGATAATTTTTATTTTTTTTGTCCGACATATTAGATCCGAAATTTTGTATTTTTAAAAACTAACATCATATTCGTAATCAGCGACCGCAAAAACCCCCGAGTACTAATCTTTAAGCCAATCAGAATGATTTTTATTTTTTCGGTCGCCATTTTGGATCCGCCATTTTCGATTTTTAAAAACTAACATCGTATTTGTAATCAGCGACCCCAAAAACCCCCGAGTACCAATTTTTAAGCCAATCTGAATGATTTTTATTTTTTTGGTCGCCATTTTGGATCCGCTATTTTGGATTTTAAAAAACTAACATCATATTCGTAATTAGCGACCCTAAAAACCCCCGAGTAACAAGTTTCAGGCAAATTTGATAAATTTTTAAAAAAATCGTCCGCCATATTGAATCCGCCATTTTGAATTTTTCAAAACTAACATCAGATTCGTAATTAGCGACCCCATAAACCCCCGCGTAACAAATTTCAAGTGAATTTAAGCAAATTTAGAAAAAAAAAATTGTATGTGTAAAAAAAAAAATTTAGCGTTCGGGCGCCATTTTTTAATAAAAAATTAAAAAAAGAAAAAAAAGCTACTGCACATTTTTAAAGTACAGCTATCGGGAATACGGTTTTTATACCTTAGACGATATGTACATAGATACCGATATAACAATGAAAATTGCAATAAAAAAAATTTCATCCAAAAATCTTGCATTTTTTGGAAAATTTCATTAAAAGAGGGGGTTAATTTTATTTTTTGGAAATTTTGACAACGCCATTCGAAAAAGCGACCCCGAAAATAGTAGGAAATGGTACTTTTGAAATTTTTTTAGCTTTCTTTTAATAGTTGTACGTAGTTAAAATTCAAGTCTGAAAACAGCACATTTGGGCGTTAAGGTACTACTACACTTTAGAATTTAAAAATTTTTATTTTTTTATTGTATTTTTTAACTTCTTATGACTTCAGAAAACACCTCCTAAAGTATTTATAACCAATTGTAAAAAATAAAAGTAAATTTTTCAAAAAATATTCAATTAATGTAAAAAGTCATTGACAAATTAAGTAAGTCTTTAAGGGGATGGTGGGGTCCAGCTTTTTGTTACGACCACTAGAAACATTGGTGCTAATGTATGTAACAGTGTCTGACATCAAAAAAATGGTGGGGTTTCAATTTGCAAAAGAATTTTAGGTAATTTATGGATGGCCTCTAACGATACACATAAGTTTAAACGCGTTTTTCTCAAATTGCGGACAGTTTATCTCTGAATCTACTGAACCGATTTTAATAAATGATAACTCGTTTTGTTTGTTAGCATGTCCTGTGTGACAATTTACCAGAAAATGGTCAAAAAATTAAAAAAAACATTTTTGCAGACTAGAAAAATACTGAAAAACATAGTGTATTTTTAAACAAATTATTGAAACATCTGCTATTTCTTCATTTTAGTCGATTTTTCATTATTGGTGGTAGATTTCTATGCAAGACACCTTTCTTTTTAAAAAGCAATTTGGATTTTTTGTTTCCGATTTGTCAATCTTGAGATAAACTGTCCGCAATTGGACAACTAACTTTTTGGTGTTTCGATCTGAATGCTGTCTGCAGATTATAATATTAAATAAAAATTAAAAACAAACCATTATTTTTATTCTCCAAATATGTACTAATATAGGCAAAAAAGTTTTTTAAATATTTATAATAAAAGATCTGAGAAAAAAATTTTTTAAATTTGGTCTTTTAAGAGCCTTCTAAAGTGTAGTAGTACCTTAAAGGGTTAATCATGTCATTTATTTCGTGTCATCGCGATATAATGACACGTATTATCATGACACGCATGCATGTCATTATTTTCCAGTCACACTTTTTCGTAAGGGTGGTTGAACGACCACCCTGATTCGACACTTTTTATACAAATGTATAAATTAGTTTCGACTTACTCGCTCATCAAGCCGCCCAAAGGAAGCAATATTGAAGGAAGCGATATTCTTAACTCATTATTAAGTCTCAATGACATTGAAAGTGATAATGAAAGAAGAGATGTCTGGGAAGAGAAATTGACACTGTCATTGCCCAACTGAAAAATCTTGTACAAGATCGTGTACACGATCTTGCAGAAGATCATGTACAGGAACATTGACCCGAACCTACACAAGATCAGCAAGTGAGCTTGTACAAGAAATTGGAACAAAGAACATGAACAAGAACGTGTACAAGAACATGCACGTGTACATTCTTGAGTGGCTTTTGAGTTCCAGATCATCTAGGCAAACATGCACCTGTTCATGCACATGTTCGTGTGTGTATTAAAAAACCGTTGTTTTTAGGTTTAAAATTTAAGAAAATTTTAAGAAAATTTTTAGTTATAATCAAAAGAAGTCTCTGACTGAAATTGCAAAAAACTACTGCGCAGCTGTAAAACACTTAGAAAACTACTGCGCAGCCTTTAAAGTATATGAATGATCATACACATGAACATGAACCAGTCAAAGTTATACACACACACGAACTTGTGCATGAACATGTGCATGTTCGCCTAGATTTTCTCGAACTCAAAAGCTACTCAAGAATGTACACGTGCATGTTCTTCTATACGTTCTTGTTCATGTTCTTTGTTCCAATTTCTTTTACAAGTTCACTTGCTAATCTTGTGTAGGTTCGGGTCAATGTTCCTGTACATGGTCTTGTGCACCATCGTGTACACGATCTTATACAAGATTTTTCAGCTGGGTGACAAAGGGAACATTTCTGATGTTCTAGGTGAGGCTTAAAAAATCCTACTAAAGCATAATTACTCTATGTCCGAAACATCGGAATACGCTCCATTGTACATTACAGGCTATGCAAATCGGAAGGGGATCCGTTTTGCAAAGTATTTAGAAAGCAAAAACCAAAACATTTGCAATTAATGCATATCAGATTTAACTTTGATACCTGATGATGTGATACCTGAGCGGCATAAGCTTATAGAGTTAAAATCAAGAGGCCATTTAAAGCATCCGTCATTAAATTTATTTAATTTAATCACTGTGTTAGAATGCACTACAATGAATGTTGTGAGCAATGAAGAAATTAATTCCAACACATTGTTTACAATTACAGAAGCATTAGAAGCAATTAGACGTATACCTTCTGTTGGGTGTAAAGAACGTGCTCCTTTACTCTTAAGAAGTATTTTTACATTCTACTTAACCATGCGCATGTTTTTCATTTGTAAACAATTGGAAGTTGTTAATATTGTAATATTGATATTACAAAAATAACAACTTTCTAAGAGAACAAACTCGAGAAAAGAGAAAATCATCCAAACTTACTACTCAATCGAACAACAAAGTTCTTCAAGATGCTTCTAGAGAAAATTGTTGTGACAGTAATAACATAACATTTACAGCAAAGCAATCCAGTAAAAGAAACAGTAACAACAAAAAAAAACTTTGATAAATATTTTTATTAATTATATCATATGTTATTGAAAATATAGAAGAATTAATATCACAATTTTTGCTTTTGAATATTAATTATGTACTATTATTTAAAAGTTTGTTAACACCATTCATTTTTCAATTATTCTATATACTTGCATAATTACAGGTTAATTGCAGACATTTTTAATTGAAAAAAATATGTCCGATAAATTAAATGACGATTGGATATAGCTCTGCTCATAATAATTCAGATTGCAACCTTCCTAATATTGTGCAAGAAGCAAAGGAATTCGTCAACAAGAAGATGGGTTGATCGCCCGGTAAATCAAAGAAGAAATGAACTCAGAAATTCCAGGCCTTTTTTCAGGAAATCAAAAGTGATGAAGTGTATTTTTTCAAATATACCAGAATGAAGAAGAGAACCGTTGTCTCCAGAGCATCGACTTGCCATGACACTTAAATACACTGGAACTCGATTTGCTAATTTGCTTCAAACTAGCAAGAAAAATCTTTTTTAATATCTTGATAAATTATTTGGGGTGAGACCAAAAATTTAGAACCATAGCCCAATTAAGAAGCACACTACTTTATATCCATGTATATAAATAAACTGAAGAGCCCTTTTCATGCGGACATACATATATTTTTTCATATACCCTACGGCCCTGAATGTTTACATTTTTGAAAGGTCAAGGTCACTCTCCAAGAGAGTCACATAAGACTCTGCGAGTGACTCTTTTGGGAGTTTTAGTGTATTACGTGTACTGTTACGATTATTGAATGTAACATCACAGTGATGTTAAATTAATATTACGTGCTGCTTGGGAATTGTAATTTCAATGATTCTTATATTTCATTCAGAAATATAATTTTTTACAACAAACTATCAGATAAATCATTTCAAAAAACTATTTTTCATTATTACCTCGAGAAGTCTTTTAACAGAAAATTTATCATTTAGTTCCACCCTCCTCATTGCATATTAAAAATAAAAAAATTTACTCACTCTATTTGAAGAGAAATTCCTTTTTCGTCCAGCAAATCAGGATGACCTGTCATTAATGATGTTATTGTTTTGAGTGCAAGTTTTACTAATAATTCATCGTCTTTGATCTCTTTAATTACATTTAACAGAATTGAATAAGCGTTGTGTTTTGCTGCATATATTCGCCGGGCAATATCTCTGTCTAATTCATTCTTCAATTTTTCTAGTTGTAAATGAATAGAATCATTATCTTTTTCCGATAAACATGCATGTAATTTATCCAAACACGACAGGATATCTGAACCGTCATCGATTACCATGTCTTTAATAATGTTACTCAGATCGATTCCCTGAAAAAAAATATGTAGTTGCCTTAGATTGTGAAAACTTTTTTCTTAACGCTTTGACAGTTTATGGCCCATATATGGCCAGAAAATTCGACATGCCACCTTTGTGTCCATGGCCATATATGGCCATCGAAAAAAATACTAAATATAATTCGGTTTGAGTGTAGATGGGTTTCACACTGATTACGAATCTAAAGTCAGATTTTCAAAATTCAAAATGGCGAATCCAAGATGGCGGACGATTTTTTTAAATCGTTTAGTTTTACTTGAAACTTGTTACTTGGGGGTTTTTGGGGTCGCAGATTACGAATCCGGTGTCAGATTCTCTAAATTAGAAATGGCGGACAACTGTTTACAACAGATTGATCGGATTAGCTTAAAAATTGTTACTAGGGGTTCTTGAGGTGGCCGATTACGAATATGATATCAGTTTTAAAAAATTAAAAAAGGCGGATCCAAGATTTCTGACGACAAATGTAAAAATTAATCGGATTAGCATGAAACTTGTTATTCGGAGGTGTTTAGAGTTGCTGATTACGAATATAACATCAGTTCTTTTTAAATACAAAATGACAAATCCTATGTGGTTTATGTTAACTAGTAATCTAATTTATTAATGATACGATAAATTTTTCATTTGTTTAATTTTATTATTTATTATTATTAATTTTTTATTTGTTTAAACAATTTATTATTAATTATTTATAACATTTTCAAATAAAACTAGAAATCAACAAATTTCTATAAAACAATTAACTTTTTTTAGTACTACATAGTATAAAATTAATAATCCAAATAAGAAATTTAGTTAAACTGCTTACAACTATTGTATAAAATTGTTTAAATAAACAATTCTTGTTATTTATTAACATTTTACCCATGGCACCTAGAAAGACGCAGTTTTTTCTAATTTTGCAATTTATTAAGCTACTTATCATAACCGATAAATATTAAATATCAAATCGATATTTTAACAATTGTTTAAACAAATAATATTTATTAACTTTTTTTCTATTGCACCTAGAAAGATGCAATTTTTTTTAATTTTGCAATTTATCAAACGTAATCTAATAAATAAGGAAATCAGTATCGCCGTTTAGTTATTGGTTCACATATTCAACTCCATAAATTGCAAAATTAAAAAAAAACCGAATCTTTTTAGGGGCAATAGGAAAAACATTAATAAATAACAATTATTTGTTTAAGCAATTTCTAAACTAGCAATTTAAAATTTTATATTTATTGGTTATTATAAGGTCCAAAAATTGCAAAATTAGAAAAAAATTGAGCCTTTCTAGGTGCAATAGAGAAAAACTTACTAAATAACAATTATTTGTATATACCCATTTTGTTTGTTATATGCTTTTTTCTATAACAATTGACTGATCTAAATTATTATGCAAATTACTCTCCTTTTTATTTATAAAAAATACTAGAAAACTGTTAATTGTTAAAAAATTTTAATTAAAAAGTAGGAAATATACTCATTTTATGCATAATTTTTATTTCTCAATAACAATATTGTTAACAAACTCATTTTTTTCTTTTGAGAAGAAAAACATTAGATATTCCCGTTTCTTAATATTTTTTTAGAAAATTCTCAATTTTCATAAGGAAATAATTTCCATCAATTCTATTTCTTAATTTCAATTGTTTTAATAAAATAAACTTTTTAAAAATAATGGAAAAAAATGTTTATTAATTATATTTGTCAATTAGAAAAATTAATTGAAAATGAAACTGAAAATTTTTGAATTTTTAGAAAATAAAAGAAAAAATTTTATAGAAAAAAATTTTCTGTTAAATTTATTTACTAATATCTTTATTTGTAAAATTATTCGAAAACAATAATTTATTTTTAAAATACTTAAAATATTTAATTATTATTATTTTTCCATAGCAATTAAGATTTTTAAAAATTACAAATTCAAAACTTTTTGAAATTAATCAACTTTAAAAATATTGTTATAAAACATAAAGATAACGATTTCTTACATATATAAAGTGATCGATTTCTTCATGTTTTATAATAATTAAAGAGGATCGAGTGTTAAAATCGTTTTCTTATATTATAAGAATATTGTTACTGTAACTTCTAAAAAATTATTTTCATATTTCATTATTATCTAAAATTTAAACTAAAATTCATTTTTAAATCAATTTTTATTAAAAAATTCTACGAGAATTTAATTATTTAAATACGAAAGTAAATTATTTATTAAATAATTAAATTTTTTAAAACATTTTATTCTTATAAAGAATTTTATTAACAAATTTCTAAATAATTGAATTCTTTTGACGAATTTTAATAAAATTTTTTAGAATAGTTACATTTTTCAAAGAATTTGATTAAAATTGTATTGAAAATAATTAAAATTCTACGACGAGTTTTATTATTTCTGAAAATAATTGAATTTCTGCAATCATTTGTAACTTCTTCAAAATTCAATTTTTTTTAGTGTTTCTAACTAAAATTCTTCTATAGATCCTTATTTTTAATAATAAATTAAATATATATTGACAAATTTAAATAATTTTAGAAGATTTTGAATTATTAAAATTTTTCAAAAATCTAAGTTCATTAAAATTTCTAATTAAATTCATTTAACATTTAAATTTTATGAAATTTCAAATTGAAACCGTTTCATTTATTTATGAAAATTGTAAACGCAACTTTTTTAAAATTGAATTAATTTTGAAATATTTAGGTAAAATTATTGTTGTTCAAGATTTAAGATGTTTAAAAAGAAATTCTAGTCAGAAATTGAAAAAATTAAAGGCTTTGTATTAGAATTCGTGGTAATTTTATAGTTTCTAAGTCAAACAAAAAAGACACAAAAATTCAAAAAAATTTTTATTAAAACTATATATTCTAATTCATAGGGGAGTGTAAGGTATGGTGGCGTGTAAGGTATGGTGGCGCACTTGTCAAATCTGGCATGTAACGTCACATCTGAAGCGCCTTATCACTATGGTCGATGTCTTTTATCGTGATGACATTTTATATGCAGTAGTATTAATGATCAAACGCGTGCTTTGTACTTTAAGTGATTTTGAATAAAAAAGTAGTGAAAAAAAGTTTTATTGGATATGTGTGTTAACAGTGCCAGAGTGAAGATTTTTTGAAAATTGAGTCTGGTAAATGTATGGAACGTATTGTTTAGACCTTGGACAACAGTTTTTTGTATTTTACATTTTTCTCAATTCGCGCTGTATGAAAGTAACACCATCATATTTTCATCAATAGCTTGTAAGGTATGATGGCGCAATTTTTGCAACGTACAGTGGCGGATCATTTTTTGCACGAGTTTCAATTGTCTTTGCATTTTTTGTGTACTAATGCCTCATGTGCTCCAACGCAACAATTCTCGAATATGTGACACTTGCGGTCTTCTCTTATTCTAGTTGCGTTAAAACAGCCACCAGCTACTTCACATGTCCAAAATTGTAACCATAACTGAAGTGAAACTTTTTTTTCTATAATGTAAAATCATCAGTTTTCTCTACTTTTGTTATTTTTCATCATTTCTAGTAGTTTTAAAAAATAATTTTAACATCTACATAATATTTTAGTTAAATACACCAAATGCGCCACCATACCTTACAACTTTCAAAAATAAAAAAAATCAGTTTTTTGCGCCAAGAGCTGTAAAATTTCACTGAATTTAAATTTTAACAGCCGCTTCTGACAGAAATATGCTTAATAGATGTCAGCAACTGCCTGCTTTTGAAATTTTGAAAAATATTGTTTTTTGAGAGAGAGAGACGCAAAAAAGAAAGTGTCCGCCACTTTGTCTATACTTTGTCTATATAAACTTTAAGAAATAAGCTTTCAAAATATGCAAGTGAACAGATAAAATGATTTGTCTTCAAAAAGTTATAAACTATATTTAAAATTGCGAATTATTTTTAACGTGCAACAAAAAAATATTTAACCAGTGTTTGTTTTTTAGAATCGAAAACAATTGAAAATAACACAGTGCAACATTTTTTAGGTTATCGAATGTTTCTGAAAGTACTTATCGAAACTAGCAAAAACCTATTTCAGTTTTGCTAGATTAGCTCTGATTTGAATTTTATCGACACTTGAATTTTCTTTTGAATTTTCACATTTTTCAGTTTTCTGATACGGGCGGATGGGAACACTGGCTATTAAAAGTTTATTAAAAAAATTCGCAATGGTCACAATTTGAAAAGCAATAATCCCTCTTTAATTACACAGAAAGAAAAAAAAATTTTGTCAAAAATTGTTCCAGTTACGAATTTTTTTTTTTGCTTTTTTACATTTTTTGGTTTTATGAAACGGGCGAGTGAGAAAGCTGGCTATTAAAAGATTATAAAAAAAATTTCGCAGTGGTCACCATTTGAAGAGCAATAATTCCTCTTTAATTTCTGACTTTGAAAAAAAAATTTGGTCAAATATTATTTGAGTTATGAATTTTTTTTGTAATTTTTCAAATTTTTCGGTTTTTCTAATACGAGAGGGTGGGAACGCTGTTTATTAAAAGTTTATTACACAAAATTTGCAATTGTCATAATTTGAAAAGCAATAATCGCCCTTTAAATTCTGATAAAGAAAAAAAATTTGGTCAAAAATTGTTCCAATTATGGTTTTTTTTTACTTTTTCACATTTTTCGGTTTTTTGATAAAGCGGGTGGAAACGCTGGCTATTAAAAGTTTATTAAAAAAATTCGCAATGGTCACCATTTGAAGAGCAGTAATTCCTCTTTAATTTCTGACATTGAAAAAAAATTTGGTCGAAAATTATTTGAGTTATGAATTTTTTTTTAATTTTTAAAATTTTTCGTTTTTTCTAATACAAGAGGGTGGAAACGCTGGCTATTAAAAGTTTATAAAAAAAATTTTTTATTTTTTTTTTGAATTACTAAAAAATTTAAATGGTTTTTATTTTAAAAATGGATTCTAATTAAACTGAGTTGTAAAAATATAATGTATAAAGTTTACCTAACAATTTCCAGATTCATTTTATTTTAATTTAACACTCATAAACTTTCCAATTTCTATTCATTTTTAATATTTTTCTTCTTTCTTATATCTTATCTTTTTCAGAATTAATTTTTTTTGATAATTTATTCTGTGTAAAAAAAATCAAAAGAAATATTGAAATCAATTGAAATTTAACCTTCATTTTTATTTATTAACAGTTTCTGTAAAACAGTTAGAATCGACAACTTCATACTTAACAATTTCTTTTCTAAAAACTTTTGGTCGATTACGGTCGATTGTAATTGCCAAATATTTTTACATTATCTTTGCAATAAAGTATTTTTTCTTGAAGCACATTCACTGGATGTTAAATGGCACATGCCAAAATATATGCAAGTACTTTTCAAATACTTTTATTTGATTTTTGTGGAGTATCACTCGAATTAAGGTCGTTTTCAAATTTTGTACGCACGTGTTTCTTGTTATTTAAATTACAACAGTTTTTTGAAGACTCGGGGCACATTAATTTAATATGTCTCAAAATAATTCTAATAATTTGAACTTTTATTTCCCGTAAGTCATTTTTATGTGCCATTTGTCTTATTAATGAAAAATGATAAATATGTCGATTACTATTAAAAAGGTTAAAAGTGAGGGACAACTTTTAAAAGCTTATAACTTTTTTCACAATTAACAAATTTTTAATTTTCATACGGAAAAGTGTTCACTGTTTAATTAACTTTAAAAAGTAATAATAATTATTGATCTATTTAATAAATTAATGTAAAACCTTTTGGAACTGATTCATCTTATCAAGCTTTAATATTTCCAACAAAAATAAAGTAAAAAGTTATTGAAATTATCAAAATATATGCAAGGGACATGAAAGTTAAAGGTTCCAGAGATATGCCCTTAAAAAAGTGAGTGAAAAGTCATCCTCGCGCGAATTATTGTTAGTTAATTGTTTAAACAATGTTATTTAAATTACTATAGCAAATTATATTCATATATTGTTAAACTTTTTTTATTTTCACCTCCAAGCGGTTAATAATATTGTTTGTTGACATAACCTACATTTGACACCATTGTTAAAGGATTTTTGGTCTACCGAAACATTTAAAAAACAGACTGAAATTATACTGAAGCCAGTACAATTTCAGTTATTTTTCAGTCTATCCTTACGGCAGGGTATAGTCTAAAAACATTAAATTTGAATTACAAAAATGTCAAAAGGAAAATGTCTCACACCTGTGCTTCAAATTCTTTGATTGCTTCGACAATAGCTTCTTTAGGAGTCATTTCGAATTCATCAATATTTTGTTGCACAACTTCGTCATATGTTTCTTGACTTATAACACGAACCATATTTTATTATTATAGAAATTAAAAGTATAAATAAGTTCAACAAACACGTGTGAAAATTGTATTATAGAAACCTTCCTATATCCTACACAACTGTATTTGAAAATAAATATACATAACATATATACTTATTTGCATAGAAGTATATGTTTTTGACACAGTGAATACTATTACTGAACTCTATATACGAAGTCTTCATGTCAATCATGTCTATATATAACCAGTGACTGCAACAAAACAGACAAACCTTTTTTGGCAGAAATGTCGAAACGATGCGCACAAACAAAACTTATTTCTCGCGCATTGTGTTGAAAGAAAATTTTCGTTGAATTCAAAAAACTGAATTTAAATTGTAAACAAACACTATAATTTACTTAATTATTGAGTTTCTATAGAGAAATGCATGATTATATTAATAATTATTAATATTGATTTAATCTTATTTGTCTAATTTGTTATTTATTTGATTATTAATTTAAATATTTAGTGATTTACGTCTACTAAATTACTAAAAACGAAATTCCCTATGCTAGTGAATTATAGTGACTTCTGTATTTCTTTAAATTTACTATATTACCAAAGACGACACTAGACGTTAGGGCCAACGCAGAATAAATACGGATACGGAAACAGGGCATGCAAAAGAAAATGACAGAAGCTGTCTGTGTCTTTTTCTTTCTCATGCCGTTCCCGTGTCCGTATTGGCGTGTTCATTCTGCGTTGGCCCTGACGTCACAACACGACCAAGAAAAAGATAGTAGTTGTAGAAGCAGCTTTATGTTTTGTGTCATCACTGACGTAAACCGTGGACGTAAGCTACGTAAAGTGGTTGTCTTTGTAAAAACATTCGAAGCAAAATAATAATTTAATTCTACAAAATTTTATTTTGTTTAGAACAAAATTATTTTGCATTCAATAAAGAATTACTAAAATATTTGTCTAATTTATTTGTACAATTTGCTTTCTTTAAACCGTTGCTAAAGTAATGTTTAGATTTTGAGGTTAGAAAAGAATTTTATATGTTAAAGTTTTTATTAAAATTTTAAAATAACGTGATAAACAGTGCATTGTTCATATTAAATGTTTACAAAAATGACTTATAACATTGATTGTATTTTCAGTTTAGTGCTTTTATGTTTTTAATTAGGGAAACTATAAAAATATATAATATTATAAAAGAAAGGAGAATTTGTTATTTGTTTTGCAATTGTAATTAAAAACTATCTGCCGAATATTAATTTCATGTTTTCAAAATGGTATGTATTATTTTATCTAAATTTTTACTCAAATATCGGTAAAATTGAGTTGCAAAGAAAATTATATTTATAATTTTACACTTAAATGAATATCGAAATTTTGAATCTTTAACCTAAGAAATATTATATAAAGTTAATATAAAATGTTTAGAATATTTTCTTAAATTTAAACATGTTTCACTAATTTAATTTTTTGATTGATAAAAATATAATTATGTTAATCTTATTGGTTATTCTGTTTACAATGACAGGCAACTGCAAAGAATGATATTAGATTGCCAGCTGATATTCCTCAATTGTTGCTTGAAAAACATGCGAAATATCTCGTTTCCTATTCAATTAATAAAGATGATTATGTAAGTATGTTAATATTTTAATGACCCTTTTAATTATAAAAATCAGAAACATGATTCTCGAAAAATGTAATTATTCTTCAAAATTTTATTGAAATTTATCAAAGAAATTCAATTATTTTTAAAATCTTTGCTATAATTTATTTATTAGAGAATTTGAGTATTATTGTCAATACATTTTTAATTAAATTTCTTGAAAGAATTAAATTATTTTTGCAAATTTTAATGGAATTCTTTGAAATTATATCCAAAATAATTTTTATAAAATTCTCGTATAAATTTAATTAATTTCAACAATTTGTCAAAATTTAATTATTTTCAAAGTTTGTTATTTCTAAAAAATTTCACAAAAGAGTTCAATTATTTAAAAAGAAATTTTAATAAAATTCCTCTCAAGAATTCAATTATTTCAAAAAATTTTAATAAAATTTGCGAAATTAAATTACCTTCAGCAATTATAATAAAATTTTTTTTCAAAATTCAATTTTCAAGAACCTTAATAAAATTTTTTGCAAAATTCAATTATTTTCAGGAATTTTAATAAAATTCTTTGCAAAATTCAATTATTTTTAGAAATTTTAATAAAATCTTTTTTTAAAATTCAATTATTTTCATAAATAACAATATTCGTCACAAGAATTCAATTACTTTTAAAAGTAATAAAATTCTTCGAAGAAATTCAATTATTTCAAAATTTTTTAAAAAAATTTGCTTTATTTTCAAAAAATTTTCTCAATTCAATGTTTTTCAATATCTACTTTTTTATAGTCTTTATTTTATAAAGATAATTATTTATTTTCATAAATAATAAAAATTTCACAGGCATTAAATTATTTGCAAATACTCTTATAAAATTCTTTGGAGAATTTCAATTATTTTTAATATACAATTTTAATCAAATTTCTCGAAAAATGAAATTATTCTTAAAAATTTTATTAAAATTCTTCAAAAGAATTCAATAATTTGAAGTTTTGTTGATAAAATTCATTATGAGAATTCAATTTTAAGAAACATTTAATTATTCAAAAAATTATTTATTTTTGTATTTAAATAATTGAATTCTCGTAGAATTTTCTGATAAAAATTGATTTAAAAATTAATTTCAGTTAAAATTTTAGATTATATTTAAATATTAAAAGCATAAGAGTGTGAATTTTTAGAAATAATTGAATTTTAAAAAGGTTTCAAATTAAAATCTTTGAAAATTTGAACTTTTCATAGTTTTAATTAATAATTCTGTGGAATTATTTTTTTTTATATTTAATTGAAGAATGTCAGAATAATTGAAATTTTATAAAATTGAACTGTAAACAAAAGGATTTGAAAATTCTTAAAGAACTTTTTTAAAAATTATTTTAAAAAATTGATTTAAAGATGATCTTTTCGAATAATTTTACAATTAAAGAATATTAAGAGTGTTTTATAATATTTGTTTATATTTATTGCTTGCAAATACATTAATTAATTTAGTTTTAATTACCAAATATTGTATATTTTACAGACATATTGTATGACGGAACATTTGAGAATGTCGGGAATTTATTGGGGCTTGACAGCTTTAGATCTAATGGATCAATTGGACAGTATAAACAGAGAAGAAGTATTAGAATTTATAGGAAAATGCCAATATGATTGTGGAGGAATTGGTGCCAGTATCAACCACGATCCACATTTATTATACACTTTAAGTGCAATCCAAATACTTTGTATGTACGATGCACTGGATGTAATTAATGTTGATAAAGCTGTGAAGTACATCAAAGAAAGACAACAATCTAATGGTAGTTTCACAGGAGATATTTGGGGTGAAATTGATGTCAGATTTTCATTTTGTGCTGTAGCATCATTATCTCTGCTGGTAAAAATTCTTGTCAAATAGTTTTCTTTTTTAGAACAATATTATAATAAATTGCAGGTCTCGAACTAGGTTCTTTAAATCCCGTAAAGGTCAGTAAATTTGCTTGAACTCCGTAAAAGTCAGTTCTTTTGAAAAAAGGTCCGTAAAGGCCGTAATTTGATTGAGAAAAGACGAAAAGTTCGTAAATTGTAAGATATAATTTGGAGAATTTTAGAGAAATTACAAATAATTGTAGAAATTCAATTATTTTCAAAAGTAATAAAATTCTTCGCAGAAATTCAATTATGTTAAAATTTTTTTTTTAAATTCTCGTCAAAATTTTAATTATCTTAAGAATAATAAAATTCTTTTTAGGAATTCAATTATTTACACAAATAATAAAACTCATTACCGAATTTCAATTATTTTTAATACAATTTTAATCTTAAATTTTTATTCTTTTTATTCTTAAAAATTTTATTAAAATTCGTCAAAAGAATTCAATTATTTAAAAATTTATTGATAAAATTCTTTATATTCTTTATATTCTTTAGCATGAAATTATTCAATAAATTGTTTTTTTTATTTAAATAATTGAATTCTTGTAGAATTTTCTAATAAAAATTGATTTAAAAATGTATTTCAGTTGAAATTTTAGATTATAACTGAATATTAAAAGCATTAGAGCGAAAAATTTTAGAAATAATTGAATTTTGAAATTTTTTCAAATTAAAGTCTTTGAAAATCTGAATTTTTCATATTTTTAACTAACAATTTTGTGGAATTATTTTTTTTTAAAAAAATTTAATTGAATTTTTTTATATTATTTGAAGTCTTTATTTTCTAATATATATTTAATTGAAGAATTTACGAATAATTAAAATTTTGTAAAATTGAATATTGTAAACAAATGGATTTGAAAATTGTCAAAGAACGTTTTCGAAAATTATGAAAAATAATTGATTTAAAAAAGAATTTTAGTTAAAAATTCTCGAAAATAATAATTCATTTGATAATGATTTTATCACTAGGTCTCAGACTGGTTATATTTTTGGCAATAATGGGTCCGTAATTTTTTATTTTTGGTCCGTAAAGACCGTATTTTTAAATACTTTCACTGGTTCGAGCCCTGAAATTGGCATGTCATTTTAGAAAAACTTTCATTTGATTTAGATTATTAATACCACAACATAATATAAAAATGTTTTTTTATGTTAATGATTTAAATAATATAACGTTAAGAATTTTATAAATTTTGAGGTGGTTCATTCAACAGATGCATTCTGTTTAAATTATTAAATTTTAAAATTATTGACCTCTAGAAAAATAATTAATTAACATTCAAATACTATAATTAAAATTTGTTTCTAGAAAAACAAAAATAACAATTTTTGAGAAAAAAATTGACAATCAAATTTTCAACTAATGTGATATTTATTTGCCCTATAAATTTTATTTTAGGGTTGTATTTTTGTATTATTTATTGTTTCTTAACAAGTATATTTAGCATTGAATCTTTATTACAGGGCAGATTAGATGAAATTGACGTCGAAAAAGCTGTTGAATTTGTAAAAAGTTGTATGAATTTTGACGGAGGATTTGGTTCGAAACCAGGAAGTGAAAGTCATTCCGGTCTTATTTACTGCAGTCTTGGGCTGTTATCAATTACAGGTAGAGAGATAAATTTTTCTAACTTATATCTCAAATAGTACAAAATTTTTTGTCAAGTTTGTAACAAATAATAAATTGTCTTCTGATGTCAACTTTACAGTTCATACTTGCTTAAGATTTTCAAAAGAAGTTTTCATATATATTTTATATTTATTTATTTATTTAATATACATTCCCGCAGTCCAATATTGGACCATAAATGGGTAACTAGAGAAATATAAAACAATTAAGTAACAAAATTATTAATAGTAAGAAAAATTTTATAATTTTGTAACAAAAACAATTTTTCTCTTTCCAAACTTAATAGTTTTAAAAGTTTTCTTTTATTTTATGGTTGCTCACGAAATCCGATAACATATAGTTTTTTGCGCATTCAGTAAATTTAATTTGCGATGCCATAAACAAATCCATATTTAGGCGAAAGTTTCTATACATATATTATTAATATGGTAACACGCATAAAAAATCGGAGATGTCCTAATCAACCCTAAATCATCCTTATTTCTATAAAATGGTAAACTTGTTCGCGATGACAAACGAGGTATCCTAAAACTAAATACTTCTAATAATTTTTGACAATCAAAGTCGTATTTTATAATTTTAAATAAAAAAATCATTGCATTGCGTCGCTCTGCCAAAGTTAAAAAGAAAAAACCTTGACAAAGAGAAACATAGTCACATCCACGTATAGGGTAAAAATTACCCCAATAACCCCCGAGTAACAATTTTCGAGTGAATCCGTTAAATTTTTAAAAATTCGTCAGTCATATTGGATCCGACATTTTGAATTTTTGAAAACTAATAGCAGATTCGTAATCAGCGACCCCAAAAACCCCCAAGTAACAAGTTTTAAGTAAATCCGTTTCTAAAACTAGCTTGTAGAGTATTTAAAATCGCTTGGATTGACGTATTTTTGAACCTCAAACGTTCAGAAATTACGAAATTATTATAGTGTTCTAGAAACCAAAAATTGTGAAAAATATCATTTTCTTAACTTTTTTGTTAAATAACTATTATATATTACTTATATTATTATCTCTGATCGGTTAAACATATTTTTTTCTCGTCCTTTATAGAAAAATATTAAATACGTATTTTTATTTTTGTACCTATAATTGCCCAAATTTTCGAGTAATGAATTTTCGAAATTTAGGATTTTTAAAAGTAGACCTATTTTCAGTAGCTTATATCTTTGAAAGTATTGAGTTTAGAAAACAGTTGTCAAAGAAATAAAATTTTGATTTTTCTTCAATTATATTTAAGTAAAAAAAAATTTTTTTTTAATTTTTAACCTCTTCTTTGTGGAGCTGAAATATTTTAAACTGATCCAAAAATGTGTAAGACCTTTTCATCAATTAAATCACTTGAAACTTGTTACTCGGGGGTTTTTGGGGTCGCTGATTACGAATCTGAAGTCGGATTTTCAAGATTTAAAATGTCGCATGACAAATTTAACCATTGGATTCGCTTGAAACTCGTTACGTGGGGTGTTTTTGGGGTCACTGATTACAAATAAAGAGTCGGATTCTTAAAATTTAAACTACCGAATCTAACATTGCTATGAATTTGGTATTTTATGAATTTAAAAATTTAGTAAATGTTTAGGCAAATGATTATTATTATTTTCTTTTTTTAAAACAATGTACGTAGAACCTTGCAAGTTACTTCTAATTTTGAAATAATATTTAGCTTGATAAATTGCAAAATTAAGAATAACTGCTAATTTGTAGATTCTTTGTGTAAAGAGTTAGTAAATAACAATTATTTATTTAAGCAATTACTGAATTGTTAAATTCATAAAATTTCTTCATGTTATACTTTTTAGCTTTTAGTAACTGCAAAATTAAAAAAAAAAATTGCAAGCTTCTATGTGCTTTGTGTCAGGACTTCGCAAGTAGCAACAATTATTTGTTTAAAGAATTGTAACATCGATAATTTTATGTTTAATTTTTCTTTGTTATTATATTAGGTCGATAAATTGCAAAATTACGAAAAAACAGCATTTCTGTAAGTGTAGGAAGAAAGAAACGTTTACCTACACTGTAAAAAATTTCTGAATTTTATCCGATAATATGAACGGGAATTTTTCCGAAATTAGGGGGAAATCAGTTTTTCTGAATATTTAATAGGAAATATTTCCGAAAGTTTTTTTCATGACGTGTTACACGTAAGGGGTTAATTAAAAAAAATAATTTTTTTAAATTACTGAAAAGTTAAAGAAAAACTAAAATTTTGTTTCTTTGACAACTATTTTTTAACTCAATATTTTTAAAGTTTTAAGCTAGGTACTGAAAATAGGTCTACTTTTAAAAAATCCTAAATTTAAAAAAAAATCTGATTTAAATTTTGGCACGTATTATTGAATTTAATAGAAAAAGTTAATAATTCAACAAATATTCACGATTACAGGTCATTTACATTTAGTGGAGGTTGATAGATTAGGATGGTGGTTATCAGAAAGGCAATTAACATCTGGTGGATTAAATGGTAGACCAGAAAAATTACCAGATGTTTGCTACTCCTGGTGGGTTTTATCATCTCTTTCAATTCTGGGGCGATTGCATTGGATAGACAAAGAAAAATTGGTAATCATTTTTAATGTGTAGTAAATTTTCTTGTATTCCAACTTTTTAGTGAATTGTTAATAAGAGAAATATAATTTTCAGCTAAATTTCGTAATGTCATGTCAGGACGTAGAAACTGGAGGTTTCAGCGATCGACCTGGAGATATGGTTGATCCATTTCACACCTTATTTGGTTTAACAGCTATATCTTTACTGGACAGTAATACTACTTTGAAACCAATTAATCCAACATATTGCATGCCACAGTATGTCATAGATCGTTTAGGTTTGAAGCCTTCTCGATTAGAAAGATGATTTTCCATCCATCGGGACCTGTTTCTAACGAACAGTTTCTAATTTAACTTACAGATGGAAGCACTTATTAGATAAACTGAGAATACCCTGAACTATATTATAATTAAAATAATTTTCTTCATATCTAGAGCCGATAGAAAATTGGAACCGTCTTTTTACTTTAAACGAATGACAAATGATTTCTGTAGTGATACTTTCGCTTTTCTCACTTATGTCAAATGTTCATTTAATATTTTTTAATTAGCAGAAGTGATTAGTTGCACCTAATATTATTGTATGTATTGTAATATTTAATATATAGTAATGCTGTACATTAAAATTAAAATGTTACTTTCAAGATAATATTATAGTAACTTATGGTAATATTATTGTAACGTTTCAGTAATAATGCACAGTAATCACAAAAATACAGGTAAATTATCCTTTATATGCATAACTATCAGACAGTGTTAAATTCACTTTCTAATTGCTACTTGAAGAAATGATCCCTCCTACAATCTTCAAAGAAGAAAGTGCTTTATTTAATTTGTTCTCATTTATCAATTGAATTGAGTCTTGCATTTGAATAAGGTTTTTATTACGCTTAAACTTGAATAAGACTTGTTAATACACGAAACTTTGAATAAGAATTATATTTCAGAGAATAATGAATAAGAACTTATATTAACTTTTCAATAAATCATTATATGAACGGGAAGAAACGAATTATTATTTATTAATTTTTATTATTATTATTATTATTATTATTGAAGTACCAAAATACCTATATAAAATTCTATGTTCTGCAGAATTATAATTACAAAAGTTACAATAATATTTCTATGCAATATTAATATAATACTAGCAATAATTCACTTTTTTAAATAAAATTAGCAATTTAAAAAAAAACGTAAAAATTTTTAATTCAATTTTTTGTTATAAAAATAAAATATGAATTTTAATATTATTATAAATATAATAATTATATATTCTGACATAGGGAATTTGGGGAAAAGTCAAGAATTTTTATTAAAAGTACAGAAAAAATTAAATTTTTAGAATTCATAAGAAAATTCTGAATTTTTGTGTCTTTTTTGTTTGTCTCATAAAGTATAAAATTAACACGAATTCTAATACAAAACCTTCAATTTTTTCAATTTCTGACAAAAATTTCTATTTAAATAACTTAAATCTTGAACAACTATCATAAAATAAATAATGAATAATTTTACTTAAATAGTTCAAAATTTTAAAAGAGTTGCGTTTACAATTTTCATAAATAAATGAAACGGTTTCAATTTGAAATTTCATAAAATTTAAATGTTAAATGAATTTAATTAGAAATTTTAATGAACTTAGATTTTTGAAAAATTTTAATAATTCAAAATCTTCTAAAATTAGTTAAATTTGTCAATATATATTTAATTTATTATTAAAAATAATGGATTTATAGAGGAATTTTAATTAAAAACACTAAAAAAATTGAATTTTCAAGAAGTTACAAATGATTGCAGAAATTCCATTGAGGGGCTGGATGCCTTAATGTGTTACGCGCCATTCACTTAACATAGCGCGTAACACTTTATAGCATCCAGTCCCTCAATTATTTTCATAAGTAATAAAATTCTTATCACAAAATTCAATAATGTTTAAAATTCACAAAAAAATCTCGACAAAATCCCAATTGTCAATCCCAATCCTAATCTTTTTTAATAAAAAAATTCTTCTTTAAAATTCTTTTATTTTCAAAAATTTTAATAAAATTCTTTTCAAAATTTCAATTATTTTCAAAAATTTTCCTCATTTCAATGATTTTTATTATCTACTGTTTTAATAAAATTACCTAAAAGTATTCAATTATTAAAAAACATTTGAATAAAATTGTACGCAAGCATTTGATTATTTTCATAAATAACAAAAATTTCACAGGATTTCAATTATTTAAAAATAATGCAATGAAAATTCGTTTAAGAAATTCAATTATTCTCCTAAATAATAAAATTCTTCACAGGATTTTAATCATTTTTAATTAAATTTTAAGTAAATTCTTCGAAAAATGAAATTATTTTCAAAAATGTTATTAAAATTTTTCGAAAGAATTCAATTATCAATTATTTTTAATAATTTTTGCAAAAGTTCCTTGAGAATTTTCAAATTTGTTTGTTTACAATTGAATTTTACGAAATTTCAAATATTCGAAAATTCTTCAATTAAATATATTTATTAGAAAATAAAAACTTCAAATAATTTCAAAAAAATCAATTAAACTTTTTAAAAAAAATTAGTTCTACAGAAATGTCAGTTAAAATCATATAAAATTCAAATTTTCTACGAGAATTCAATTATTTAAATACAAAAATAAATAATTTATTGCATAAATAAATGTTTCTCAAAATTGAATTCTCATAAAAAACTTTATCAACAAATTTTTAAAAAATTGAATTTTTTCGACGAATTTTAATATAATTTTCAAGAATAGTTACATTTTTCGAGGAAAACAATTGAAATTGTATTTAAAATAATTGAAATTCTATGATGAGTTTTATTATTCATGAAAATTATTGAATCTTTGTAAAAAAATTTATTACATTTTTTTACATATAATTGATAATTTTAACACTCGATCCTATTTAATTATTATAAAACATTAAGAAATCAATCACTCCGAGTCTTTGACTCGGAGTAATTGTTATCTTTATATTTTATAACAATATTTTTAAAGTTGATTCATTTCAAAAAGGTTTTAATAACATTTTTTCCTTTACTTTCTAAAAATTCAAAAATTTTCAGTTTTATTTTCAATTAAATTTTCTAATTGACTAATATAATTTATAAACATTTTTTTCCTTTATTTTTTAAAAAAACTTTGAATTTTATTAAAACAACAATTGAACTTAACCCCTTGACTGTGGATGACGTGTATACATGTCATGAAAAAAACTGGCCCAAACAGTGGATGATGTGTATACACGTCATGGCCCAAACAAGAAAACATCTTAACGTATATTCGCAAAAATTTTTATTTGGGGGTTTTTGGGGTCGCTGATCACGATTCTGAAGTCAGATTTTCAAAATAAATAATTTTTTATCCAAAATGTTCGCCAAAAATTTTTAAAAATTTTAAAAGTGGATAAATTATTTAAAAAATTTTTACTCGGGCAGGGTGGCCGCAAGTCAGGGAAAAACTGGAAATCAGGGAAAAGTCAGTGAATTTTGATCGAAAAACACCCGAATAACGAATTTTAAGCGTATCCAATGAATTTTTCCAAATCGTGTCCGCCATTTTGAATTTTAAAAAACTAATATCATATTCGTAATCAGCGACCACGAAAACCCCCGAGTAACGGATTTTAAGCGAATCCAATGAATTTTTTAAAATCGTGTCCGCCATATTGGATGTCATAAAAATTTATTCACAAGAAGGTCTTACACATTTTTGGACCATTTTGTTATATTTTAGCTACACACTGAAGGGGTTAAGAAATAGAATTGATGCAATTTATTTCCTTATGAAAATTGAGAATTTTCTACAAAAATATTAAGAAACAGGAGTATCTAATGTTTTTTTTCCTAAAAGAAAAAAATGAGGTTGTAAACAATATTGTTATATTTAGATACACCAAAGAAAATAATATTTTTGTTCATATATAAAGTTAGCTGTAAACTTTCTTTTACTTATAATTCCATGTATGGGAATGCAATTCTACAACAAATCAGAATTGTGGAATTATAATACTTTAAAATTTGAATTTTGAATTCTGAAATAAAAGTATTCTGTTTACACGTGAAAAATGAGTAATTTTATTATTGCCTGTAAAAAAAGTATTCTTTTTCTCTTTTTCTCCATTCTCTTTATGACGCGATAATTCCTTATGAAAGGATATGGCGCATGTATGCGTGTACTCGAGCGATGCGCTTTATTCGCTTATAGCGTTAAAGGAGGTTTGGGCTGCAATATGTCAGAGCGAAAGCAGTGGGAAGGGTTTGGACATCATATTAACGGCCATGACGTACGAGGCACGAAGCACGAGGCGCAATGTGCTTTACGACCTTCCCCTCCCGCGAAGAGAAGAGATTAGTCGAGCGTGAAATCAATTACCTTCCTTCCCTTTCTCTCTATCTTCCGTTTTCACTCCAACAAAAACCCCTTTCAAACTGGATTTTATCCCTCCCTGATCAGTGGCGTAACTTTACTATCCATTAGAGTGATTTCAATAATATTTTTAAAACCACATGAAAATCCTATACCTACTTGTATCTGATGAATAGTTATTCTCATAAATCCAATTGTTTCTGATTTTACATATCTTGTCCGAAGATTAATAATGTTGCACGGTTTGACAGAAAGATGTTTTATCAAAATTATCTGGTACCTTCGAGTTTCTTTTTGTGACTGATAGTTCGAGGTGCCAGGCAGTCAATTCAATACTTCTTAAAATCAAAAAGAAATGCCCCGACCCTAAGAAATAATAGCATAAAACCAATAAAAGTTAAGTAAATTAAATTATAAGTATACGAAAAATTCGCTGTACATATACATTGTCATCAAAATTTTAGAAAAATCAATTCTTCTCTATTGCTCACGTCGATTTGCAGATAGAAAAGAATCCAAATTTTCTATTTTTCTTAATGCGCAAAGTTTTATGGTATTAAATGTTTTTGAAAAAATATGGAGCTAGTGAAAAATGAAAATATGGTTGAAAAACGCAAAGTGCTTACGATAAAATATAAAATGCTCTTACTGAAAGGAATTTTCATGTGTTCAATATTTAACGTCAAGTTTTGAAACCTAACCCCACTTTCTAGTGGAATCTTGAGTGGTAGTGAGTCAATTTAGTGGAATAGAAATTTCTACTGATTTGCTGTTGATTCTGATTATTTTGAATGCGCGTTTCATATTTTTGTGAAGTCAATTCAGAATAATATATTTTTTTGAAATTTTGGTGGTTCCCGTGGAATAGAGCTCCGAGGTAAATTCGCCTATTAAGAAGAATACAATTTTTGAATTCTTTTCAATTCTACGCTTCTTACCGGGTAGTGTAATTCGGGAGGCTAGGAAGTCAGACCAATAGTTTCTAAATCGAAAACAAATTGTGACGCGATCTGAAGAAAGGGACCTTAGAAGCAAATCATTTTAACCCTGCTAAAAATAAAATCAGGAATAAAGAGAAAATGTCAGAAATTTTGATGTTTTGTGACTACTTTGACGTTTCCTGAAGCTTTTGGTTAATTCTGACTAAAGGATTTTTTATGCTCCTGTTGAATCCTGATGTTTATGGATTGCGATTATTGAGCATTGAAATCTGTTTTTTATTTACAGCCCCTCACCGAAATCTGCCGTGTGATATAAAAACTTAGTTAACTGACATTTTGGTGAAAAATGAGTTTTTGGTATCAATGAACTCGTAAGAAAAAACTGCGTCTAATAGTTATAGTTTACATTTTTTTGCGAATTATTGTTTGTAAAAAATTTATGTTAAAAATCTAAGAAATTGCAGAAAATGAAGGAATATTTGATAAAAAGTTAAGGAAAGGACTTTGCGTAGTCCAAAAAACAAACGAGGCTACGAGCTCGAATGTAAGATTTGAAGGAAAAACTTAGTTAAAGGCATTTGTGTGTTTTTTGTATCAAATAAATAGTCGAGTCTGAGCGTTGG